AGTTTGCTGTTGCACTCACACGTGTAGCATCACTTGCACACCATACTGGGACATAATGCAGTCCTAACTGCTGCTTTGGAGAGGCGCCTGCAGTGAGCTGGCACTTTGTTGTGGGCCTTTCCCAGTCTGTTTCCCCAGGACCCTCCCTTCCACAACAAGGGCGGCCCTAAGAGCAAGTCACTGGAGCCTGGAGACACAGGATTCCCTTTGGATGGCTCTTCCTCTCCCAGGGGTCTGCTTATCACACACTGGGCAGTGAGTGGTAGGGGTGGAAATGGAGTAAGGCCCTTTAGCCTTTTGTCATCCCATAATGAATGAAGAATATTTAACCTACAAGGGAATGAACGTGAACTTGAGGGAGGTGGAGCTACCTTTCTATCTTAAGAATCACTAAAAAGTGTGTGTAAAACACTGGTCTGTGATTCTGGACGAAGTCATGTAACAGGAAAACAATTTCAAATACAACATTTTAATAGTCATTAAATAATTGTAAGTCCGAGGTTGAAGCGGCAGTATTGTGAACTTCCTGAACTTTAGAGGTGGAGGGGCATAGCTGGGATGCTGAGGGAGGGGACACAAACTGGTAGGTAGGAGACTGAACTGTGCCCTCAAGGACGGCTACATTTTTGTCAGTATAATAAAAACACAGACAGAATGGTTGATAGAACAGTACAATTACACAATTTCCTTGAGGAACTTAGCTGTGAAGAGAGTGGCAAGTGACTACAAGATTGGTTTGCTTTTTTCTCCAAATGGCAGGCGAGAGTATCTTGCTAGGAAAAGGCAAAGGAGAAAGAAGGGGGAGACCCTGGCCTTCAGGATCTGGCCTTGAGACCAACATCCTAATTATGAAGCAGCCAGGATCCGAGGCCATGGCCAGCAGACTTCAGCAGCCTCTCCAGCGCAACCCCGCGTCGCTAACAGCCATCTGGACATATTCCGTGAGGTGAAAAGGTGGGGAAATGATGCCTTACATAATCCTTAAAACATAAAAAAGTACCCATTTCAGTATTTGAACACACCGTTAGACATTTGCTCAGGGCTAAGGAAAGGTGCCCCAGCCCTGGTGCCCTGGGGGAAACGGCATTCTACTCCCGGAATCCTACAGGGGCCGTTCTCCCGTCGCCTGGCATCACTGCAGGTCGGAATTAACTTGATGGCAGTGAGTTCTGGAGGGAGAGAGGAGTCCTGCTCTCGTGGGGCTTATTTTTCAGAGGGGCAGGGATAAACAGATTCTCTTGACAAAGATAACGCACGGTGGTTAGCGCTGGGTGGGAAACAGATGGGCAGCGAAGACCACAGGAGAAAGGGGCATTGGAGCAGGTCTCCAGATGATGGAGGGGCAGCCAGGGCTGGTATCTGAGAGGAGAGCTCTAAGCAGATGGAATAGGAATTACAAAGGCCTAAGGCAGTGGTTCTCAACCTTCCTAATGCCACCATATCTTTCTTACAGTTCCTCAGGTTGTGGTGACCCCCAACCATAACATTATTTTCGTTGCTACTTCATAACTGTAATTTTGCTACCGTTGTGAATCGTAATGTAAATATCTGATATGCAGGATATATTTTCATTGTTACAAATTGAACATAATTAAAGCATTAACAATTAAACACAAAACAATATGTAATTATATATTGTGAAATATTTGTGTTTTCCGATGGTCGTAGGTTGGGAACCGCTGCCCTAAGCGGACACATGACTGGAATGTTCAAGAAACACTGTAGCCTTGGCAGGCTTCTAAGAGCCAGAAGTATTTGGCATGGTTAGTTAGTCCATCTCTGAAGAACCTCGGTTCACCCAATTTTTTTTTTTCATTTCCACCACAAAAATACATGTAAACATAATATCTGACAAAACTGGGAACTAAAGTTATTTTTAGAAACTACGGTAATAGTAAAAATAAAGTGGCCCTTCTCAGCTACAAGTATGTTGGTATAAAATGCTACATCCTTGCCCGAGCCCATTCTATAATCCACAGCCCCATAACAAACACACAAACAAACCCACTAAGTTTACTGCCATCAAGTAGACGCTGAGACAGGGCAGTGCCCATGGCCAGTTTAAATTGCACAAAACCTTGAGCTCGTTAGAGAAATTGGGTAATTTGTAATTCCTCTCTCGTGGGACAGTTTGCAACTAATAATGTTCTACACTTCAAAGTCTGATCAAAACCACTGACTGGACCCGTGAGACTTGAGGAATCCCCAAAAACTATTGCTTGGAAACAACTTTTGTAACTTGAGGCAAAATCATCCCACAAATTTACCTTAGAAATTATCTTAGCTTATTAAGTAAGGTCAGCCTTTGAGCACTGCCCCTACTGAAGAGTTCTTATTAAGTAAGGTCAGCCTTTGAGCACTGCCCCTACTGAAGAGTTCTTATTAAGTAAGGTCAGCCTTTGGGCACTGCCCCTACTGAAGTTACCTGTAGGAAATTTAAAAGAAAACCCAAACCAAGCCCACTGCCATCGGGTCAATGCTGACACTATAACGCTCTTATAGGACAGGGCAGAACAACCCCTGTGGGTTTCTAAGACTGTAACTCTTTATAAAGAGAAAAAAAAAAAAAACTGTCTTCTTCCAGTTGGTGGTTTTGAACTGCTGACTTTGCAGTTAGCAGCCCAATGAGTAACCACTTTGCCACCTGGGCTCTGAAAAAGACAAGTATAAACTAGAGCTAAGAATATTAAGGGGCTCAGAAAGCATGTTAACAGTAGTGAGACAAGGGCAAAGGCAGTGAGAATGGTAACACGATGTGACCCTAGGTAGCCACTGTCAATGAACTCCACATATGAAAATTGTGTTTTACTGTGTTTATTTTCAACCCCCAAAAGTTCTACATTATTTTAAATTTTATTGCTAATAAAAACCTGCAAAATTCAATGAAAATTAAAGCAAGTCAGAGTTAAGCAATGTCGGTACTGGTTAGGTGCCCAGTTAGTTCTGGTTCGTAGCAACCCTCTGTACAACACAACCAAACACTGCCTGGCCCTGCACCATCCTGAGTCGTTGGTGTCTGAGCCCCTGTGGCAGCCACTGCGCCAGTCCATCTGGCTGAAGACCTTCCTCAGTTCTGCCGACTCCCTGCTTTTGTCCTTCCTAAAACACAGCCAAAGTATGAGAGATGAGCCCTAGCCATCATTACTTCTCGAGCATTCTTGGCTATACTTCTTCCAAGACAATAATGTTCTTCACTGTTCTGACATTCCGTGACATCTTCAGTATTTTTGGCCATTATAATTCAAATACATCAATTCTTTGGTCTACCTGACTCATTGTCCAGGTTCTCCTGCACACCAAAAAAACCTGTAAACCATGACTTGGGTCAGCCTAATCTTAGCTTTCAAGGTCACGTTTGCTTTTTAACACTTTGAAGAGGTCATTATAATGGATCTACCCAATGTGATGTGATTTCTAGGCTGTTGCTTCCACGAGATTTGCTTTTGGTCCAAGTAAAATGAAATCGTTGATGACGTCAACCGTTTATCAAGATGTTGTGCTTATTGGTCCAGATGTGAGTAGTTTTGCTTCCTTTATGTTGAGGTAAAATACTTAAGGATGTCGTCTTTGATCTTCATCAACAACTTTAAAAGTCCTCTTTGCTTTCAGCAAGCACGGTTATTTCTATATATCAAAGGTTGTTATTGAATTTTCCTCCAATTCTGATGTCACATTCTTCATAGTCCAGCCTCTCAGGTTATTTGCTCAGTATACAGATTAAGCATCATTAAAGGATACAACCCTGACACACACTTTCTCTGGCTTTAAACCATGTAGTATCCTTTGCTCTGTTCAAATGACTGCATTTTGGTCCGTGCAGAGGTTCCGTATGAGCACCATGATATGTTCTGGAATTCTCATTCTCTGCAATGCTCTTCATAATTTGTTATAATCTACACAGTTGAATGCCTTTGCATAGTCATTAAAGCACAGGGTCCACATCGTTCTTGTATTCTCTTCCCACCAAGACCTATGTGACATCAGCAATGATATTCCTCATTCCTTGGCCTCTTTTAAATCCATCGTAACTTTCTGGCAATTCCCTGTGACTGTACTGCCACAATCATTTGAGTTATCTTCAGTAAAGTTTTACTTGCATGTAACATCTTGCAATCTGTTCAATAATTTCTGCATTCTATCGAATCATCTTTATTTGAAATAGGTCCATACATGGATCTCTTCCAGGTGGTTGGCCAGACAGGTATCTTCCAAATATTTTGACATAGGTGAGTTGGTTCCAGCATTGCAGCTGTTTGATGTAATATGTCATTTGGTACTTCACTACCCAGAGCCGTCTTTTATGCCATATACTTTCACAGTGCAGCTTGGACTTCTTTTTTTTAATATTATTGGGTTTTGATCATAAGCTAACTCCCGAATTAGTTGAATGGAAACCAATTCTTCTTGGTACAGTGGCTCTGTGTGTTCTTTCCATCTTCTTTTGATGCTTACTGCTTTGTTCAACACCTTGTCCAAAGAATCCTTTAATATTGCAAGTGGAGGCTGGAACATGCTCTTAATTTCTTTCCGTTTAAGAAATGCCAAGAGTTTTCTTCTCTTCTGGTTTTCTAACTCTGGGTCTTTGCACACTTCACTATAATATTCTACTTCTGCCTTCTCAAGCCACCTTTTGAAATACTCTCTTTATTTCATCATTTCTTCCATTTGTTTTGGTTACTCTACATTTTAAGACAGTACCAGCGTCTCTTGTGATAATCATTTGTCTTTTCTTTCCTACCTCTAGAACTTTTTGCTTTCTTCATGTACTATGTTCTTAATGTCATCCCACAACTCATATGGTTGTAGAAATATACCATGTCTCTCTCTCTCTCTCTCTCTCTCTCTCGCTTTGCTTTTGTGCTGAGACCATTACAAACATTAGCAACAGCAACATAAGTATTTTCTTGAATTGAAAGGAAAGGCAGCCATTTCCCCAAAATGTTATGTGACAGTGCACAATATCAGCATTAAAAGGTTAAATTTGACATTGTCTTTACCACTTTGGATCTTCCGAACAATTTTATTGAGCAAAATAAGATAAAAGATTACATGTTTATTTTTATATTTAGGAATGTAAAGGTCTAATTATTCAAACAGTTTTTATTATAAAACTAAACTCTGATGTGTCTACAGAGTTGGCTTTTATTTTTATCTTTTTAAGTCAGTAGTCTAACAAGGATTAGAAAAGACAAAACTGTTCAGTGTTTCTGACAAAGTAGAAAGGGTGAAAACATAAATAAGGCTTTAATTTGGCAAAATATAATACAATGCCTTCTGTTATCCTTGAACGAACAGTTTTCCAATTACTTCACTCTGTAAAAGAGCAGAAAGAAAGACATTCATTCAACAAAAGTTCATATTGCATTTGCTCTAGCAAGGCCATCAGGCCTGATAGTTTAGGGGTCATCAGTTCTAAAGGCAGATGCCTCCAGCCTAATGCCCCAAAACTATGAGAGCCATTTCCTTGAAATGAATCTATATATAAAAGTGAGTCAGAAATTATTGCTCTACTTCATATTTGCACAGGCTTATTCCAAAGAGGAGCCTTGGTGGCCCAGTGGTTATACATTGGGCTGCTATCTGCAAGGTCAGCATTTGAAATCACCAGCCATTCTGAGGGAGAAAAACAGAGCTGCTTTCTACTCCTGTAAAAGCTACAATCTGGGAAACCTACAGGGTTGCTATGAGTTGGCATCGACTCAATGGAAGTCAGTTTTTGATATTCCAAACAAGATGTGCCAGGCATGCATGTCTCTGTGATTGGTAGGCAGCTGTATACAAGTTTTCTCAACAATACACTTAGTGTTAGTCTTGTTAATGTGACTCTCTCCCACCCCCAACCCCCCAGCAAAAAAACCAAAAAAAAAAAACCCTAATGGTTCAATCAAAACAGTAGCTTTCCAAGAGGCTCTACTGGGTCAATTAAATCAAGGCAGAGGGGTGAACTCAAAAGATTACAGTAGCTACTTTCCGGCACTCCAAATGAGTCGTATATTGAGATTTCTTGAATGACACAGGATGATCACAGGCACTTATTAGGGGAAAGTTTTAAGAAAATTGAAAACTGCACTGGTGAGAAGAAAGTTGTGTAGAATGGCGTCCCATCATGACAATGCACCTGCTCATTCTTTGCAGGTGACAAGGGCTGGCCTACAAAAATGTTAGCCCTGATCTTGCTCCTTGAGACTTCCTTCTGTTTTTAAAACTCAAAGAATGTTTAAAAGGAAAACCATATGAGCTATTCACGGATACCCAAAACTGCTGTTTTAATGGGATATTAAATTTAAGAGTGCAGGGTAAGAGAGATGGATAAACCACCTTCGGAAGTATCTAGGGACCTGCGTGGAGGATATGTTGGCAAATAGTAGCTTCACGTTTTGATATTTGTAATAAGGCTCCTATGAGTTTCTAGAAATACTTTTTGAGTTACTCTCATCGATTCACACACACGCTTTGCCGGTTCTGCTGCTTTAGGGAAGGACGTGCAATGCCGAAATGCCCAGGGGTATGAGGCGAGAAAGGGACTACAGGCACAAGAAGAGGAGATCAAACAGCTCCCTCCACTTCCCCGTGAATTAGGAAGCAAGGACACTTGCGGCTTCGGGGAAGTGAGCGTGTGTGGTGAAAGTGTGACACACTAAGAAGACTGGGGACACCAGCCGCCTAGGGGGTTCAGTGTAAGGAGTTTTGCTGACACATTAAGAAGTTAGCTGGCTGGTGTAGTGGATTAAGCAATGGGCTGCCAACTTTCAAGGTCAGCAGTTCAAGTTCATCAGCTTTCCCTCGAGAAGGGAGATGGACCTGTCTTGAAAATCTCATGGTTCAGTTTTACTCTGTCCTACAAGGTTGCTGGGTCAGAATCAACTCGACAACAGTGAGTATTTGGACATTCTTAAGAAGTATCTGACCTAATGGCATTTTGAACCATTTATAAACTGTACTGAAGCAACACAGAACATCCTTGTAACACCTAAACGAGTTTAGGGAGTAGCTAATCTAACCACATAAGACACCTAGGGGTGTTACGAGTTTAGATCTTGGGCTGTGCTAAACACAAAGTCTGAGACAAAAGATAAGGCTTTTGTTCCCTTACAAGTTTCAGGACCTTCAAAATATGTACATATACAGATATAAACACACACACAGGCAAATGCCCTTACATAGACAGCAATCCTTCAATGGGCCTTACCTAGTATCTGATCGTGTTCTTGCTCCCTCGTGAGTTGCTGGTTCACTTCCTGCAGCAACTGCTGTAGCTGTGTGACAGTCTGGTTGAGACTTACAGACACAGTCTCTTTCTCGGACGACTGCCAAAAAGAAGAGAGAAGTGGTGAAAACCCCCTCGCCACAGGGAAAAGGCATTTAGACCAAAACTAGAACACAGCTGGTGTTTTACATATAAATACAAAAAGATCTGAAAAGCAGAATAAAAATCAACAACAACCATGAAGAGGAATAGTGTATGTTAATTAATGGGGCAAAGTAGACAAAACTCAAAACAGGTAAATAATACAGTCATTGACCCAAAGCCCATTTGTAGGCCACTGGACATCCCCTTACAGAAGAATTTCGGGGAGGAGACGAGCCGGTCAGGGTGCGATGTTGCAACGATGAAAAATACAACTTTCCTCTAGTTCCTAAATGCTTCCTCCCCGCCCCCACTATCATGATCCCAATTCTACCTTGCAAGTCTGGCTAGACCAGAGGATGTACACTGGTACAGAAAAGAACTGGACACACAGGGAATCCAGGGCGGATGATCCCTTCAGGGCCAGTGGTGTGAGTGGCAATACTGGGAGGGTAGAGGGAAGATGAGATGGAAAGGGGGAACCGATTACAAGGATCTACATGTGACCTCCTCCCTGGGGGACAGACAACAGAAAAGTGGGTGAAGGGAGAGGTGGGACAGGGCAAGATATGACAAAATAATAATTTATAAATTATCAAGGGTTCATAAGGGAGGGGGTAGTGGGGAGGGGGGGCGAATGAGGAGCTGATGCCAGGGACTTAAGTGGAGAGCAAAGGTTTTGAGAATGATGAGGGCAATGAATGTACAAATGCGCTTTACACAATTGATGTATGTATGGATTGGGATAAGAGTTGTATGAGCCCCTAATAAAACGATGGAAAAAAAAATACAGTCACTGGGCTACAAAAGGGAAAAAAATCTAGAGTCTATAAATATCCGAAATATTTTTCCCCCTTGTAGGGAAAAACTTATTTACCCAGAACCAAGAGAGAGCACATTCACAACAAAGCCAGTCAAAATAAGCATCAGCAGTTACTACATCTTATAACAGGCACAGGCTATGGAGCAGCATGACCCCACTCACTACCCTAAGGGTTTTAGGTGTTTGCTTATTTTATTTCTTTTAACAACCCTAAAGGCTAGGCAACATAAGCACTGCTTCCTACCGAGGAGGGAACTAAGACAGAGGGCCAAGGAGCGGGCCCTGTCACAGTCACATGGCGACCACATGATGGCCAGGGTTCCAACAGCTTGCTCCAGTCAATATTTGTAACCAGTGACCATGCCGCCTCTACACACGTCTTCATTAAGATTAACGAATCCCCTCGCCAAGATAAAGGTAAAAACAAAGTCCCCACCCACCCACCCCACCCCACCCCCCTTTTTCTTAGGGCAAAGGAAGCCACTGCATTCCAGAGGTAAGAAATTTCCAATAGGAAATTATCTTCAGTTACAAGTGAGACAGACCCAACGCAACGCATTGCATAGGCGTCTTTCCAGTGAGAGACAAGTCTTGTACAATTTTATTCTTGGCATAATTTACATTGATCCTGGAGGTTCTAGGTTAAAGAGAATACATACCGATTCTGGAGAAACATCACTGTTCTCAATAACAGTGGTATCTCCAGCAGCTTTTACTATTTTTGACTGAATAAGATCCAGTGACTGTTGGGCCTATAAGAAAAATAATATGGTAATAATTAATAAGTGAATGAATGAATGAATACATTAACATGAGGAAAAATAGTGAGAAAATTTGGACAATCAAAGTTATTTTTAAAATACAACGTAAAGCGAGCCTATGTATTCAAAAGTTGTTTTTTTCCCCGCAGAAAATTGCTTTCCTGCTTCAAGTTCTAATGTAGAATAGAGACTACGAACTAGTCTATTTATTCCAAGGTTCAGAGAAAGAAAAGAATTGCTGACCCCTCTTCTAAGTCAGTCTCTCACCTGCACGTGCTTGCAGAAACTGGTCATGCACACAGAGAGATCACATAACTATGCCTTAACACAGAAGGGCCAGTCAAAAGTACTGCCAAAGTAGCACAGAAATGTCTGTTACACAAAAATATCAAAGCTTGAAGCTATGGTCTTTCAAATATATTTAGGGCATTGTTTCCATCGTACCCTTCCCAAAAGATTCTCTATTCTTCCATTTACATCGTGTCACGAGGGCAGTTTTGGCATCCTACAACGAGACGGTCCTGTTCCTTTTCAATGTTCTTTTGAGTTGCAGGAACAGAGGGCAGCCTTCAGAGCGGTGGGTGAAAGCTAAGGATTCTGAATGAAATTCTCATACTACCCTTGAAGAAGAAGGGACACTGTCCTGATAGGGGGCAAAAATCCCTCAGCTCAATTTTTCTGGCCTTTTTCTCACCAACAAAAATTCTATTTTCTTAAAACTTCATCAAAATAAACACTCATGATTGTCTTGTATCTCATGAGAAAATCCCCTTTGTGAACCCAAACATACAGTTATGAACTCAGACTTGAATTGGCCTAGCAGACCCCTCAGCATTCAGTTTTGATTGGCTCTTGTCCTCTGGGTCATACTGGTAAACTCAAACTCGTTCCTGGTTATGACTCATTCATGAAACGGTCTTCCGTGGCTTCAGTATAGCTTAAACACACGATGGGCAGGTCAGCTTTCGGCTCGCTTATTTTTGTACGACACTGTCAGCACCTATGGCGCAGAAAGCTTGCCGGAGCCAAGATTTTCACATAAAATCGAAAATGCAGAGTCAAGCCAGAGCCCACGTGGGCTACTGCAGCTATGGCATCAATGGTAAGTAATTCTTTGTTGTTCTTCCATCAATTTTTGGCATTCAGCCCGTTTCTTCCTTCCCTGAAGGTGACAATCTTCGCTCTCTTGGCTCATCTTAGCTCGCCTTCACGGAAATCCCAACCTTTAACAAAACGCTGGATCCATATGAAATGTTACTTCATGCTGGGTAGTGTTCGGATTAACTTGCCGCAAAGCTTCAATAATCTGCGGTGGTGTTCACTTGAACTTTTACAAATTTGATATTAGCACTGACCTAAAACTCCCTTTCTTCCAAGGTACAAGCATCTCTCTCTGTGAAAGCACCGTAAGGAAGCCCGAGAGCACTTACCTGCAGCTAACCACTGATGACAGAGACATGTTTAAACACTGATCCAGATGTTAACCACTGGTGACAGAGACATGTGTGAACACATTTTTTGGGAATAAATGTTTGCTTGTATGAACTGGAGCCCTGACAGCAATATTGTGCACATACTTACAGATGCTGCTTTCTAATTTGTTTGCTTTACTGGGTACTTTGCTAACTTGGTTCCTGCTGGTGAGCAAGAGCTTTTTCAAATGAAGTGTTGCACAGGATTTCCACTATATAGGCATTTCATTTAAACTGCCATCGATGATTGCTATTTTTAGCTATCATAAATGACAGGTTTTTAATAGTTGCTATTGTTAAGTCGTTAATATATTCACAGTACTTTTGGAGTAAGTAAATTGTTAAACCAAAGTTACATATTTTATATTTTAATCCAGGGATCAAAGTCATGTGTGAAAATCAGATTGCTCTGCCTTGACTGTGTATCATTTATTGAAGCTTATAGTCCTAAGATTTCCCTTAAGATCACATTTTACCTAGTGGTAATAATGACCCAAAAATAATCCGACACAATTCTGAACTCCTAGACTTTTGCATAAAAGGAATTATAGCTAGCTCTAACCATACAACATCACTTTCAACTTAAAAAATAGTTCTAAATTGAATTGTTTTATTAATAAATGTATCTCCCAGAAACAATACCACAGCTCTAGTGCAACTTTGATTAGATATCTAAGAATTATACTATTTTAAAAATCCCAAAGCAAAACTGTAATATCAACAACACAAAAACTAAGATTTTGGTTTTACCCAAAAACATCAACTATGATGTATTTTTTAAATGACAACATAAGCAAATTCCAATTGGGGGAAGTGGGGGTACAGCCATTGTCTTTAACCCCACCTAAATATTTAACACCAATTAAGCTTAAAATTTTACATTATACCTCATAAAATAAGTATATAACTATAAAATGATTATGCAAATTTGACTCAGAAACCACCTAAAAGTTTAATTCCAAAATGGTAACTTTAAGTAATAGAGCTTAAACTTTTAAGCAAATTAATATACTGGTGCAAGGCCACATGTCCAGAAGCAGCGGCTTGCTAGGGCTTCATGAGAGGCAGCATCATAATACAGCATCTTCAGGACCAGGGTCTTCTTACCTTATGCAAGTCACCAGCTACCTTCTGTCTTTCATTCTGTTCAGTTCTAAGTTTTGTGAGTGTTTCGTTTAACTGCGCCTTTAACTGCAAAATAAATCGATACTCGAGTCAACTTACTGTGCACCTTGTTCGATTGTGCTGACACCTCTACGACTGAAGAGGAGAAAGAATGAGTTTGCTAACAGTTAGGAGACACAGTGGGGTAGCCAATATGTTGCACTGATGTACAGAAAAGCGAAGCAGTGGAAATTCCCATCTGGAAAGCTAAATGTGAGAGTCACAGAAATGAACTAGAATTTAGGGTGGGAAAGTGTACATGCCCCCCAAAATCCAGCAAATTCCAGTGAAGTGCTTAAGGAAAGTACTTTCATTCAGTACTCACAAAACACTTTCTATTTCAATTCTTCCTAATAAAATCAACAAAATCTTGTAAAGTGCATTCGAAAAAAATATCATTCATTACTTATACAGCATTTTATAGTCATATTCTTCCAAATAGAAATCAGAATAAAAATTTAAATTTACTAACCCGTCTTTAAAGGCTCCCTGCTCTACTGTTCAGTTAAAAAGTCAACTGTTACTATTTTAAAAGACATTGAACAGATTATATATTCAGTAAAATGAAAATTTCACCCATTTATGTTGCTGGTCCTGACTTCTGGAGTACCACATTGTATAGACTAGCTTGAATCATACCAACCAAAATGTCCTTAGGTGCACATTTCTCAACAGCCAACTCACTAAAGCATGTGTAAAATTCTATCATACTTTTATGTCTACTCTGACAACTTTTCTGATTAAATGTGAATAAGGTAAATGGACTATATTTGTCAAAGAATAAATTTCTTACTAAACTCATCGAGTTAATAGTTTTATGAATCACAGTTTGTTTGTTTTTTTTTGGGGGGGGGGAACTCCCATCCCTAGGTATAGTATAACTTTTCATATCATCCAGAAACCCAAAAGGAGGAAATACATTGACAATTCACATTGAGAGTTGAATTAGTGGGGAGCATTTCATTTGGAAATGTTTCTTTTAGGAACGCTGTTTAAACACCCATATGATACAGAGTTTGCTCTGTTACTTCAAACTCTTGGAGTTTACTGTTTTACATCACAGGCTTATTCATTTGGCCCATAAACACACAGAATGCATACATGCATATAAAATTGTTTTATAATGTGGTAACTGCTATCCTGAACAAAAAAAATTAACAAAGATTACAAACTCAAGGCATCATTTGTTTAAAAAAAAAGCCTATGCCTCTCAAAATGGTCCCATAACAGAAATAAAGAGGTAAAAAAAAAAAATTCAGAGCACAGCAGGCTGACTAGAGATATAACTATAATCTGATGGGCTTGAAACTACTGTGGGAATCAGCCACTGATTCCGAGTTAAAAGTCAAATCCCCCAGCAAAAGGCATTTAGAACAGATTTTTCAAAACATATATATAAAACCAGTCTTAAAAGTTGCAAGGAGCATGAATTCAATTAAATTAAGTCAAAGGTAAATAAAGCAAAGGGTAAAATACATACATATTCTGTGGGTTTATTTCCAAGTGCCCTACTCTAGAACTGATACCCATTAATCACTGCCATTGCATAGAAGATCAATTACAAATGAATGAATGAAAGTTTTCCTTGGTCTATGTACCAACGGTAATGAGAAGATTCCATTCACTCCACAAGGTTAACGGGTAAGGAGAAAATTTTTCTGTCATTTTCATGAGTCTATTCTCAGTTCTTTTAAAATGACTCAATTCTGTGTTATAATTTTAAGTAATGGGAAGACATAACTATTGTCATTCGAAACAGAATAAAATAGTTATATGTGTCTGACAACTAATTCTGTCATCCTACGTTTAAGGGTTAAGGAAAACATCAGCATGGGGAATGCTGCTGCTGCTGCTTGCTATGGTGCCACTGCTGATGCACAGCAACCCCATGCAGAGCACAGCTGTCCCACAGGGTGTTAAGGCTCCAGCTTTTCAGAAGCCAATGTCCAGGTTTACCTTCCAAGGTACCTGCAGGGGGTCTGAGAATACTGAATACATAAGTACAGATAAATATATTCATAAAATATTAAGCTAATTTGTATAGCTCCAAAGTCTAGTTTTAGTTACTATGTTCATAAATAATATGGTGATGATAAAGAATTTCACAAACTTTTAAAATTTCTAATCTTTTTTTTTTTTAAGTTAAATAAGGAACTGGATTGGATCATTGCCCTTGAATGAAGCCTATGCTTCACTATGGTTAGAAAATAGGAGATACAGTAACTATGAGAGCCTGAGAAGGAATCTTTATCTGCTTTATTTCATTAGTCACTGAAAATAATGCTGTTGGAGAAATTCGGCTTAACAACACATGGGAAATGTTCTGAAAAAGAGCTGGAAGCCAAACATGCCATTATTAAGAGCTAAGAAAAGGAGGCTGTCGTAGGGGTCAAGAAAAGAAAGGTCATCTTAGGAGCCATCAGAATATGAAGATTACCATAAACTTGCAAAAAATGCCAAGCTAAAGAGGTTAGCAAGAAGAAAAAGGTTTGGATGGTTTCTCCACATGTCCACACAGTGTTTTCAGAGCCTACTTGACACTCAGTGGAGAACAAGCTTCTTACCAAAGTTAGCTCTTCATTCTGTCTTACTGCTTCAGAATATGAATCATCAAGTTTTTTCTGCAATTCAGTCAACAGATCTTTCAGCTGCAATGAAGTTTAGAGTTTAAGGTCGATCTCCTTTTGACAGCTCATGTTATGTATGCTACCCAGAAGCTCTGCCACAAACCACTTAAACTGAAAATTTTATCACTGTTAATAGATGTAACTTGAATTGAGAATTTCGGGGGACGAGGGAGGATAGTTTTATGTACCTCTCTGACTTCTGTAACATAAGTAGATCGCTCCATTTCTGCCTTTTCTAGCTCCATTTCCAAATGCTCTCGTTCTCTTCTCAACTAGCAAAGCAACCCAGGGAGGGGAGAGTTAACATACAAGATTCCCTTTCATGATGCTTCCCCCACAACGCAAACTTATCACACAAATAAAAGCTATCATTTCAAACACTCTCCGAGACACGTTCTGAATAGCTCAGCAACTATATCATTAGATAAATCTTAAAACAAAGATCTTAGGATGTCCCCTTAATGCTAGGCTACAAATCAAATAAGCAAATAACTTACATTTTCAATATCTTTATTTTCTCTTCTTAATCGCTCTAGCTCTTGTTCCGAAGAAGTGAATGACAACTGCATCTGAAACGTTAAAAAGTTTTATGACCAGAGTAGACAACAAAGGTTTAAGCCCCAGGTTTCTCACTTGTGGAACGGTGAGTTAACTGGATACATCCTATTGAAAGGCATAGTGAATTTTAAGAGACCTTTAAAAAGTCATTCTTTCACTTGACTAAAATTGTGATCTGCACCTACTCCATTTCCATAATTAGTTCAATGAAAACACTGCTTACGTTTCCCTTAACCATTTCATCATCATTTATGTGTTCCCTTAACCATTTCATCATCATTTATGTGTAAGTCCCAGATGCATGCACCAGCAACCCTCAATTCTGCAGTCTGAGCCAGAAAAGTTAAGTGGGCAACAGTCTTGATTAATCTCTTTTTCCATACCACGAAAATTGAGAGAAAAATTAAGACTGCAATAACCTTCAGGTTCCAAGAACAACAGAATAATCTAATAACCCCCCCCCCCATTCATGGATTAAACATCAATGGTTTTGAAACCAGATTTATCTTATGTTATTATCACATAATATTTCAATAATTTCCAAAGCACTTAATATACGTCCCAGTGGTATAGGGATTGTCAGTGGTTCACCCCATTAGCTGCTCTGAGGAAGGAGAAAGCTGAGGTTATCTCAGAACCTAAAACACAGCTCCACTCTATTCCGCGGGAAACCCAAAGAAGCAATTTTCTGTCCTATCGGAACCAATTCCAGGGCAATGGGTTTTTTGTTCTACATGCTGTATCATTATCTTTAGTCATATTCTAAACCAGTGGAAACCTGAGTGGGCCATCAGGATCACCTGAAGGCCTTACTGAAGCACAGGCTGCTGGGTTCCATTCCAGTTTCAGACTAAGGACATAGGGGTGGGGCATTTCTAGCAAGTTCCTATGTTCACGGCTCTCAACCGGTGGGTCGAGACCCCTTTAGGGGTCGAATGACCCTTTCACCCACTTTTCTGTTCTCCGTCCCCCAGGGAGGAGGTCACATACAGATCCTTGTAATCAGCTCCCTCTTTCCAACCCATTCTCCCTCTACCCTCCCAGTATCGCCACTCACACCACTGGTCCTAAAGGGATCATCCACCCTGGATTCCCTGTGTTTCCAGTTCCTATCTGTACCAGTGTACAGCCTCTGGTCTAGCCAGACTTGCAAGGTAGAATTCGCTAGA